AGGTGAGCAAATCCCACAGCTGCTATTCTTGAGGGAACCAACCACAGCCTAGGTATATGGTCTCCCTCAGGAAAGCGTGCGGTGAGCAGGAGACAAGAGCTGAACCCTGGGACCTTTCTAGAAGGAAAATCTCAGTGGAGACCTTTTCATAGCACTGGGACAGACAAGGGCTATAATTCATCTTAGGCTAAATGACAAATTCTCTTACCCTGCAAAGAGACTGCAAGGAAAGCAGAATAGTTTGAAATTAATACTGAAGGGAAAAGGAAATTCTCTTTCCTGAGAAATCGTAATTGTGCATCCTACGGATCTGAGACTTGCATCCATACCACTTTGTAGTTAAAAAAAAAAAAAAAACTCAACCAGGTAATTTAGTTTACATGGTTCTGGGATTGGCAGTACTTTAGGTGACTAGAAAAAACAAAAGCACTTCATCTCTGAGAAAGAAGGTAGAAGAGAATTACAAAAGGAGCCTTGATGCCATCCATTTAAAAGGCCCAGGGGAAAACAGAGTTCACTGAAAAGAAAGAAAGCCATGAAACATAAAAGCAAGCAAGTCACTGTCTGTGAGAGGTGACAAAGCAAAACCCAAGAAATTGCACATTCAGAAAGAAATAAAAGATGTATAGTTAATCTATTTCAAGAAATAAAAAAGTAAGCTTGGAAAAATGCCCAGGGAATAAAAAAAACTGTAATGAAAACTGAGATAACTTGAAATAGAAACAAATGGTGTCTTTATTTTAGTTGATATTCAGAGAGAGAATATTTATAAACCTGAATTCTTTGTCTACCAAAAAATACTTCAGCAAAGTTAGTAAAATAAAGATATATTCAAACAAAAACTGATTTGGGAGGCTGAGGTGAGTGGATTGCCTGAGCCTGTGGGTTCGAGACCTGCCTGGGCAGCGAGACCTCATCTCTACAATAAATCAAAAAATCAGCCGGGTGTGGTAGCGCACGCCTGTAGCTCCGGCTACGTGGAAGGCTGAGGCAGAAGGATCGCCGGAGCCCAGCAGGTCGAGGCTGCGGTGGCCGGGAGCGGCCACTGCACTCCAGGCTGGGCGACAGAGTGAGACTCCAACTCAAAAAAAAAACTGAGATTACTTCCCATCAGCAGGCTCTCACTAATTCTATGGGACGTACTTCAGATGGAAGGAAAATAATCCCAAACGGAAGACCTGAAATGCAAGAAGAAATGAAGAACAAAGAAAGTGGTCATTATGTAGACACATCTAAAGAAATGCTTCAGTGAGCTTAAGATTTGGGCAATGTCTTCTTCCTACCCACAGGATTTTCTGAGCTCAGGAAAACATCAGTGCCTGGTTACCTGCCTGGCATGCCTAAGAATAAAACAAAACACAGTAATTATCCCCCAAATTATCTGTAGGACACTGTCAGGATGGTTAGTGCATATCTGTCGAATGACTGTTTTTTTTGTTTTTTGTTTTTTTTTTGAGTTGGAGTCTCACTCTGTCGCCCAGACTGGAGTGCAGTGGCCGCTCCCGGCCACCACAATCTCGCCTGCTGGGCTCCGGCGATCCTTCCGCCTCAGCCTTCCAAGTAGCTGGAATTACAGGCATGCGCTACCACGCCCGGCTGATTTTTTGATTTATTGTAGAGATGAGGTCTCGCTGCCCAGGCGGGTCTCGAACCCGCGGGCTCAGGCAATCCACTCACCTCAGCCTCCCAAAGGCGCGGGATTACAGGCTGAGCCACCGAGCCCGGCTGACTTTTTTTTTTTATTTGTTCAATCCATAATGTTTACTGAGTATAGTGCCCAAGAATAACAGCAAGTAGTAGATCTTTAGGAGTGAAAGTCTCTGCCTTCGTGAAGCTTATATTCTAGTGAGAAAGTCAGATAAATAATAACACAAATCACAGACAAATATATAATTACAGGCTCAGCTAAGTTCCATGAAGGAGAAGCCCATAATATTAAGAAAGCAAAATACATGAAAATCTGAATTGGGAAGGTCAGAGAAAGCTACAATTGTTCTGTGTATACTGCTATTCCTATGATAATATGGGGAGCAAGAGATTCTATCCCAGAGACGTGGGAAAGAAAGGAGGAGAAAGGAATGAATATGGCTAGAGAGAGCCACAGAGAGCAAACTAGCTGACCTCAGAGTTCAGAGGGAGGAGCCAGAGTACATGTAATACCAGCCATGTAGTTAGTCACAAAAGTGAAAGGCAAGCAAAAGGGAGAAAATTAAAATTGATATACAAAGAATTACAGTTTAGATACTGTAAATAGAACAGTTTATTCTGAATCATGGGTGAAGAAGCTACTTCTTTGAGGGTAATGTATAAAGAAGTCATCAAATAATAAAGAAAAAGAAGAAAAGAAACCATAGAACTTGGGTTTGGGACTCTAAACCTCAGTCCTCTGATGTCAGCATTTGAGGTGCTCATGCACTCCAGCCGTGGAGTGCCTTGTCTCTCTCTACAGACCAGCTCTCCCCACTTCCCTTACCCAGAGCAGAAGAGGGCCACCTGTGGTTGGCAGCCTCAGTGTCAGGATGTCCATTACTTTTGTTCAAGTGAACAGCTATCGCTGAATTCAAGATCCAGGTTAAACCAGAGAATCTGGTGGGACTCAGCTTGGGTCACGTGTTCATCCCTGATCTGAATAACTGAGATGCCAGGGAGACAATCTGGGTGCAAGCACAGCTGCCCTGGCCAACCCTGGGATCTTTTGGAGGTGATCTCAGGAGTACTGTAAAGTGGACTACCACCATAGTCACACTGAGCTCATGCACATATCAGCCAATTGTAAAAATAATGTCAAACTATCGTGATTTTCTAAAAGGAATTCTTAATTTTTAATAAAAGCCTCCAACATTTAGAAATAACAGGAGAAAGTACTATCCGTTTGCTATTTTAGTAGCTTAGTCAATTAAAAATACTACCAGTGTCTGAAATACAGTTTCAAGTATTTAGAAGTGGTAGGAATATCAGAATAATGTAATTTAATAAACAGTCTTGTCTGACTGTTTATATGAAAGAAACGAGGAGAGGTGCTAGGGAGGTACAAAAATGAGTAAGAAAAGTTCCTTGCCCTAAATGAGCTTTTACTTTTGTAAGGTACCAAACATATGAGAGGGAGCCCCCCCCAACTGTAATTATCTTTTGGAGGGCAGGACCCTTGTAGTACAGGCTTCCCCTGCTAGGTAAATGTTCTAGGAACCCATTGGCAGCACTGTACCAGTTAGTGTTGTGAGAGACTGAGTTTGGCTTCAGTAATTTTTTTTTTTTTTTTTTTGAGATTCTTTCAGTGCTTTCGCCTATTTCATGCTGGGTGATTTATGAGCACATCTGCCCACACTGCACTGAGTGTTCAGGAGTTTTTGACCAAAAATGGTATGATCCCCATGCCCCATCCTCCCTATTCACCTGATCTCGCACTAAATTACTTTTTTGTTGTTGTTGTAGTTTCCCCACATGAAAAACATCCTCAAAGAGAAGCATTTTGCTGATGTGGAAGAGGTGAAACAAAAAACAGCAGAAGCACTAAAAGGCATCAAAATGGATGAGTTCAGAAAATGGACAGCACTTTAAAGGTGACTGAAGTTTAATGTAAGGATACATACACAATTTTTCATAAATAAATTCCAGTTTTGGGGGATCCCCCTTCATAAGTCACTTATTATAATACCAGAGAAAACAGTGGCTGTGAAAATGAAGATCAGTTCTGAGTTAATTAAGTCAGCCAATAAATATGTTTTTTTGCAACTACTCTCACATTTTCCGTAACTGCATAATTCAAGAGTAGTATTACAAATTTCAGAATGTTTACATCTCTATTTTATATAATGTAAATAGTACAGATTTTGATTACTCAAGAATATAGGTATAATGCTGCAAAAATACATCCCAAATCTCAAATAGCAATGCCTAACATATAAGAAATAAACACTAAAGTTTGCCAAATACATTTATAAGAGGATTTTATAAATTTGAGCTGTGAATATAAATAATTATTGGCTCATACATAATGTATTATGCTAAAATACATTATGTATGTGTTTTTTTGTTTGTTTTTTTTTTTGAGTTGGAGTCTCACTCTGTTGCCCAGACTGGAGTGCAGTGGCCGCTCCCGACCACCGCAGCCTTGACCTGCTGGGCCCCGGCGATCCTTCTGCCTCAGCCTTCCAAGTAGCAGGAATTACAGGCACACGCTACCACGCCCGGCTGATTTTTTGATTTTTTGTAGAGATGAGGTCTCGCTGCCCAGGCGGGTCTCAAACCCGCGGGCTCAGGCAATCCACTCACCTCAGCCTCCCAAAGGCATGGGATTACAGGCTGAGCCACCAAGCCCGGCTTATGTATGTGTTTTTAACAGCACAACAAAGTTCAAAAAGTCACTAACTGAACATTTTGAAATACTTTTGAAGGTGCCTGTATGTGTTGCAGTTGACAATGGTCTGTGCTCAAGGCAAATGAGACCTGAAAGGCAGGACCCAGCCTGTGGGCAGAGACTGAAGAGGTAACAGCAGAGAACCTCATGCCCTGAGGGCCCAGCCATGGACAAGGCAGTTCAGGGATCCAGATATAGTAATTCCACTTAGGAATTTTAGACATGTCTATGAAAACCTTAAAAATCATACCGACCTGAAATGTTAAACTTTTGTTCTTGTTTTATTCTTCTGTGGATCATGTGTAGAAAGGGCGCAGGCTCTTGTCTACAACACCCCAGTCAACAGTGCTGAAATAACTTTTGTCCAAAACACTAAATCTAGAAATGCCATTTATAATACAAGATACCACAGACCAAAGCGAACAAAAAATGAGTTACAAAAGTTTATGCCTAAATGTTGCCATGTCAGTAAAGTTCTTGACTGGTAATAGCCACATATAGAAACAAAATAAAAAAATAAGTTTAAATTAAGGTATCTAATTTTCAAATGTCAGTTAAGTTGTTTGAACAAAAGTCTTTTTTTCTTAAAGAGTTTATGGTATTTTCTTATCTAGAGCACCAAAATCTAAATTTAGATACTTACATTATTGCACTCTCCAAGGAAATACAGTGCAAATCCATCAGCTTTTGTGGCTGCCAAAGTAATAAAAAAGGAAGAAGCTAATCTCAATGGAAGAGTATAACATACATGAATTATCTATGGTGAGACTCAGATATGAGCCTTTTGAATTAACTTGTTAACATAATCAATGGTCATGCAATAAATAGAGCAAAACAATTAATGGCTTTACTCAATAACACAACTAGAATAGCTTCTATATTTTTCATCAGTGATCACAAATTTTGAGAAGTGATATATTCAAATGCCTATAGTAGTAATATACTATGCCATAATATGTTTGTCAAACTTTAAATATTCAATATTTTAAATTCTGAATGTTGTGTTTAATTTTTAAAGTATTAAAAAAAGCAGAGTGATATTCATAATGTTGAAAAACCGAAATATGTATCAACTGAAAGGATAATATATATATACATCGTCACCAAAGTGAACATAACTTAACTTACCTAAAATTACTTCAAGGTCAACTGAAGGCAATTGCCGCAGCAATTAATAGTATAAGTCTTGAAGCAATTGCCTGAACTTAAACCCCTGCTTAAACTCCTGTTTACCTGTGTGTCTTAGGGCAGATATTTAACCTCTGTTCCACAGCTTCCTCATCAGTAAAACGGTGATAATAATAGAAACTACCTCAAGAGGTTGTAACAAGAATAAGTGAGTTAATGTAGGTAATATGCACAGAAAAGTGCCTAGCATATAGTTAAGTATATAATAAATGTTATCACTATCATTGTATCATTAGTATTTTTATTTTCAAAAAAAAAGACACAACTGCTATAGTAGGTATCCTAAAAAAAATCATGTCCTATAAAAGTGCATCCTAAAAAATACTTTTCTGATGTAACTTCCCCCATTATATTCACATTATAAACCATTTTTTACAAAGTATTTAAAATTGTCATCTACCCAAACAAATTTAAAATGTTAATTCGCCCTTAAAAATTATTTATTTCCTTTACAAAGATGTGATTTAATTCAATAAAACTATACTTTCAAAAAAACTGGGTGTTAATTAAAAGGCACAGTATATTACATGTATACTCGGGCAGATATTTATTTGGGACTAGATAATTTAAAATTTTTATATTTGACTAATTCTGGTCGTTTCATAATAAAATAGTTTCACTTCAAACTTAGTCCAGCAACAGAAGTAAACAAATGACTTTCATCTACTTCTCAGTAAGAAAATTATTTTTGCCACTCTTTGCAAAAGAATCTTGATCTAATTTTTCTAAGAGGAGAACAGAATGTTTCTTACCTATTTTAATGATGCTACTCAATTCATAGAGGAGTAGCTGGTTGTCTCCCCCTGTGTCCAACCGCTGCTCTATATAGCTGTTCAATTCATAGACAACTCCCTGCATATTCGTATCTCGGTACTTGGGATAAAAAAATGACAAAAATAAAGGGCACAGTTAAATAAAATCAAATGTAATAAAAATTCCTTACAGTGTAAAGCATACTCTTAATACATATGACGTCATATACTAGCTGTTCATCATACTTTTATAGAGAATGATTTAAATAATATAATCTATTATGTAAAACACATAGATTGAAAATTAAAATAGCAATTTAATGGCTTCTTCTTTAGAATTATCCATAGACTACATCTGTGCTGCTTATTTATAGTAAAATATAAAATGTTACAAATTATACTTTTCTTTCTGAAGTGTATACATATGAAACAACTTGATTAGTAAAAACAGTATGAGTTTTCTGTGTAAAAATATGGTAAAGTCTGCAACAGGCACTGCACTGGGTGAAAGTGTCCTGTGTCACTGGCGTCCATATGTATGGCTTTATCCTGATCTGTTCTCAACCCTGCCATGCAGGAGTGAGGGCTTGCGCTGCAGCCTCTGACCCCAGGCACATCCACAGCACTAGGCACCATCACGCCCCATGACAACAGCAGGTGGCCAGGGCTGCCACCCGCCACCATGCCTCAGGAAAGGATGCACTTTCCCTTCTCTAAAACAATGAAAATTGGTCTTCTAACGAAAATCCCACTGCCCAGTTTGCCTTACTAATCCTACTCTCCAGCAACAGTCCTTGTAAACTTTAAAAACTGAAGTTCTGTCACTCCCTGGCTTAAAACACTCTTGGGACTACCTGTTGCATTTGGGATGATAGACAAAGTCCTCACACTGTGGCCTCCCACACTCTACAAAATGTAGCTATTGTCCACCTCAAAATTTCGTCTCCTACATCCCTACTCCCTCTGCCCTCACTGTCTCAGGATCGGCTACTGGTTTCTTGACCACCCAGACACCTTTCACTCCTAAAGCTCTATCCCTTGCCATTATTCTTGAGCACTATATTCAATAAACATCTATGCAATGAACACATTTTTTAAAAGTCATTTGACAAATATACACTGGCCATCCTGACAATGTCCTACAGTGGATATTCTCCTAGACATTAGCGACCCTAGAGAAGTGAAAAAATAATAATAATTCCTTCCCTCAGTGAGCTCACATTCCAGTCAGAAGAGAATCAATCATTAAATAAGGCAAAATTTTATATAAATGTGCTAAGTAGAGATCCTGGGTCCAGTATGATGGTGCTTGTTGGCTAAAATCTATTCCCAAAAGTGACTGGCGCTAAATGAAGCTGAAATGTCAAACTGTCCCTAGTAAGTTGCAAAGGCTTAACAAGACTGGAATGCTAGAATTGACTGATGATGGAAGACCTCTGACCCATCCCCTGGTTAAGTCCCAGGGAAGCTTCCTCACCGAGGCCATGAGAAATACATCCACCAGGGGAGCCCTGGCACATCTGAAGGACTCTGAACTTTGGGTCAGGAATGACTGTAAGAACTGCTACCATCCAACTGGGTTCCCTGAGTTCACCCAGAAGATGGGACCTTTGTGTGGCAGGAGGCAAGAGGGAGCACTTAATATCATAATAGAACTGAAGCTACCATCAGAATAATTCGACTAGCAGAAATCTTTATCAGCTACTTGATTATTGTTGCTATGGTTTAAATGTTTCCCCTAAAGTTCATGTTTTGGAAACTTAATCCACAATGCAACAGGATTGGGAGATAAGAATTTTAAGAGGTGATTACGTCATATGGGGGTCTCCCTTTTTTTTTTTTTTTTTTTGAAAGCAGAATTTATTAATAGGACAGAAAAACTCCCACAGTGGGAGGGGACCCAAGAGGGTTGCCCAGGTCTGTCTTTATGAATAGATTAATACTGTCATTAAGGAAGTAGGTTAGTTACTGTGGGAGTGGGTTCCTGATGGTAAGTCGAGTCTCCTTCCCTTCTCTCTCTCTCTGTCTCTGTTTCTCTCTCTGTCTCTCTGTCTTGTCTTTTTCTGTCACTGCTTCTCTGTGTCTGTTTCTCTCTCTCTCTCTCTCTCTGTCTCTCTCTCTCTCTCTCTCTGCCTTGTCTTTCTCTGTCACAGTTTCTGTTTTTTTCTCTCTCTATGTCTCTCTCTCTCCCTCCCTTGCTCCCTCCATCCCTCTCTATCGCTCTCATGTTCTCTTGCTCTTTTGACATGAGATGACACAGTAAGAAGGCCCTTACCAGATACAGGCCTCTTGAACTCAGATTTGTTAGCCTCCAAAACTGTAAGACAGAAAATGAGTAACAAGAAGTGGGGCCATTGCTATAACAAATACCTGAGAATGTGGAAATGGCTTTGAAACTAGGAAATGGGTAAAGGCTAGAAGAACTTGGAGGAATAGGATACAAAAAGCCTAGAATGCTGTAGAGGGAACATTAGGACAATTCTGTTCAAAGCAAGAAGACAATGGCCGTTGGGAGGGCCTAGACCTTCTCAGGATCACTGGAGTGGTCATGATCAGAATGCTGTAGAAATATGGGCAATAAAGGCCATTCTGATGAGGTCTGAGACAAGAACATTTACATATTGGAAACTGGAGCAAAGGCAATTCTTACCATAAAACCATACAGAACTTGGCTGATTTGTGTCCATGCCCAAGGCCTACATAGAAGGCAGAATAAAATATCTGGTGGCAAAAATTTCTAAGTGAAATATTGAAGGAGCTGTAGGGCTACTTTGAACAGCATCTAATAAGACGCAAGTAGAAATAAATTACATAAAGATTGAGTTTATGATAAAAAGGGAAGTAGAGTGGAAAGATTTGGAAAGTTTGTAGTCTGGACATGTAGAGTGAAGAAGTGTGTTTAGAACAGCAAACCAGGCCAGGCTCGGTGGCTCAACCTGTGATCCCGCGCCTTTGGGAGGCTGAGATGAGTGGATTGCCTGAGCCCGCGGGTTCGAGACCCGCCTGGGTAGTGAGACCTCATCTCTAATAAATCAAAAAATCAGCCGGGCATGGTAGCACGCGCCTGTAATTCCAGCTACTCGGAAGGCTGAGGCGGAAGGATCGCCGGAGCCCAGCAGGCGAGGCTGCAGTGGCAGGAAGCGGCCACTGCACTCCAGTCTGGGCAACCGAGTGAGACTCCAACTCAAAAAAAAAAAAAGAACAGCAAACCAAGGGTGTGCAGGCAAGCAGCCATTCACTAAAGAGATGAGTAGGAACAGAAGGGAGCAGGTACCAGTCATCAAGACAATGGGAGGAAGACCCTACAGTCATTTCAGAGATCAGGGAGGCCATTCCTCCCATCACAGGCTCAGAGGAGGAACTTGAGGGCGATTTCCCAGAAAGGTCTTCAGGGAGCCTCAGCATCTGCTCCTCTAGTACCTCTGGACCCTCCAATTCTGTGCAGTGTCTGTCCCAGTTGCAGCTCAAGGGAGCCCAGTTGCAGCTCTTGTTGCATGTCCAGAGGACAGAAGAGAAGTCTTGGTGATGTTCACATGGTAGTGACTCTGCAAACACACAGAGTGCATGCAGCCTCCAACTAGATTTCACAGGATTTAGTGGACAGCGGTGAGCCCAGTCAGAAACGTGATGTAGAGGTGAAACCACCACAGAAAGCTCCTAGAAGGGCAGTGACTCATGGTGTCCTGGGAGCAAGTCCATCTCAGAGACTCCGGAGATGCAGAGTTACCAGTGTGCAACTCTGTAATTCTAGGAGAGCTTCAAGTATAGACTCCAACCTGAGAGAGCTGAAGTGTGGGCTGAGACCAGCAGAGCCCTGCCCAAGGCCTTGGGTGACTCAGCCTCTACCAATGTGCCCAAGATGGGAAACATGGCGTCAAAGGAGATTATTTTCTTAAGGCTTAATATTGTTTTCTCTGTTGGATTTTATACTTATTTGGGACCAGTTATCCCTCTTTTCTTGTCTATTTCTCACTTTCAGAATGGGAACGTTCATTCTAAGCCTGTGCCATCACTGAATTCTAGAAGTAGATAACTTGGTTTGATTTCATGGGCTCATGGCTGAAGGAAATCTGTCTTGGGATGAATTATGCCTTGAGTCTCGCCCATATCTGATTTAAATGAGACTCCAGACTTGAGAGTTGATGCAGAAACAACTTAAGATCTTTGGGGCCACTGGAATGTAATGAATGTATTTTACATGCAAGAAGGACATGAATTTTGAGAGCCAGGGTGCTAAATACCATGGTGTGAATGTGTCTCCCAAAGTTTATGTATTAGAAACTTGATCCCCAATGCAACAGTGTGAGGAGCTAGGGCACTTATGAACACATTAATACTGTTATGGGGAGTGAGTTATCTCAGCAGTGGGTTCCTGATTTACACAAACAAACAAGAGTGACTTTAGCAGCCTTGCCCTCCCTCTAGAGCGCATTCTCCCAGCCTTCTGCCTTTCTAGGGATGACTTGGCAGGAAAGCCCTCACCAGATCTGGTCCCCTCAGCCTTGGGTTTCTCTGCCTCCAGGACTGTAATAAATAACTTCATCTTCTTTATCTATTACCCCATCTGTGGTATTCTGTTAAAACAATACAAAACAAACTAAGACAACAGTGTCACTAGAACTGAACAGGGTAGTCTATAAAGTATTTTTTTCATTCATCTAAGCAGAAACGTTCTGGTTTAAGTGAATGAAAATCTGAAGTATAACCACAACAGAAAATCAGAACCCTTAATAGATTACCAGACTTGAGCCAATTCAGGGGTCCAGAATCCCTCCAATAAAGAAAGTAGAGGCCAGGTTCCTTTCAAGAAGGCTCTTGATACACATTCAAAAACTTATAGTGCAGATCTTCCTTCTACTTTTCCCAAAGAGGTCTGCTGCCATTTCCCTGGGTAACTGTGTATGGGGTAAGTGGGCATGACAGCCTTGGGGGACCACTGGGCATCAGCTCTACACTGACAGTAATTCTTAACAGACCCTTATACCACTGGGATGGACCAGTCACAGTCTTATTGAGATCAGGGGTCAGTGGAGTTTTAGCTCAGTTCTGTCTTAAAAACATGCCACAGTAGGTTCTCAACACACTCTGTGGTAACTACAGTTTTGGAATATACACCCACAA